AGTACGACAAGGCTGTATATTGTCTCTCTGCTTATTTAACTTATATGCAGAATACATCATGCAAAAGACAGGACTGGATGAATCCCAAACCGGAATTAAGATTGTAGGAAGAAACATCATCAACCTCACATATGCAGATGATACCACTCTGATGGCAGAAAGTGAGGAGGAATTAAAGGACCTCTTAATGAGGGTGAAAGAGGAGAGCGCCAAAAATGGTCTGAAGCTCAACATCAAAAAAACTAAGATCATGGCCACTGGTCCCATCACCTCCTGGGAAATAGAAGGGGAAGATATGGAGTCAGTGACAGATTTTACTTTCTTGGGCTTCATGATCACTGCAGATGGTGACAGCAGCCATGAAATTAAAAGATGCCTGCTTCTTAGGAGGGAAGCCATGACAAACCTAGACAGATCTTTAAAAGCAAGGGAGATCACCTTGCCGACAAAGGTCCGCATAGTCAAAGCTATGGTTTTTCCAGTAGCAATATATGGAAGTGAGAGCTGGGCCATGAAGAAGGCTGACCACTGAAGAATGGGTGCTTTTGAATTGTAGTGCTGGAGGAGACTCTTGGACTGCAAAGAGAACAAACCTATCCATTTTGAAGGAAATCAACCCTAAGTGCTCACTGGTAGGACAGATCCTGAAGCTGAGGTTCCAATACTTTGGTCATCTCATGAGAAGAGAAGACTCCCTGGAAAAGACCCTGATGTTGGGAAAGTGTGAGGGCAAGAGGAGAAGGGGACGACAGAGGACGAGATGGTTGGACAGTGTCATTGAAGCTACCAACATGAATTTGACCCAACTCTGGGAGGCAGTGGAAGACAGGAGGGCCTGGCGTGCTCTGGTCCATGGGGTCATGAAGAGTCGAACTTGACTTAATGGCTAAACAACAACAAACTGACAAAAAAAAACCTCATTGTGCTGTGCTTACACTCTTCCTAACCTTCAGGGAACCAAAGTATGGAAGTAAAAGGTTACAAGTAAGAACGTTTCCTCTGACACCGTACTTTTGAGAGTAATAAGGATATAACATTAAAAAAATTGAAAGGAGGAGATGATGAAAGTGAGCACTTTCCCAGATGGAACAGGAGTTTTAACCCACCCACCTCTGCCTCTTGCTTGCTGAGGAAGGAGAGCGGGGTTTGCACGCAAGCATCCTTTAAAAAGCTACTTCTCTTCTTTTTAATAGAGCCCCTTCTTTTCAGGGGCGGGCGCTTTAAAAACAGATTTAAGAAATCCACTTTTCTGCTGGAGCATCTCTTCTTCAATTTTTATTGGTTTGTTTGTCTGACTGCCAGTTTAAAGCATGACATGTCAACATTATTTCTATACAATTAAGCAACTACTGATAACATTATTACTTGCTACTGTAGTGTGTAATGCTTAGAATAAAATTGCTACTTTTTCACATTTTAAGGGTTTATCCCGAACTAGCCCGCTTCAGTTGAGCTGTTTAGCCAAGCCCTCAGTATAATAAGTAAGCTTTACTTTTTCCTTTCAAAACACTGGATTTTAGGGAGAAAACATTTGGCTAGTTCTAGTTATTTCTCCCTATTTTAATTATTCTAAGAGTAAACTCATGATGGCAAAACCATAATACATTAGTAATGTTTTAATAACATGTCACTGTAAAAGCAAATGACTTATTTTGAGGAAACCGTACCTAGTTCATTGCTAGATGTTGCCCTCATTTAATCATCATCCTAGAACTGCAGAACTGAAAGGAACCCTAAGGATTACAGAGTCCAGTTGCTGTCAAGGAGGCGCAGTGGGGAATTGAACTCTCAGCCGCCGGCTCTGCAACCAGAGACCTAAACCACTGAACTATCCAGCAGTTTGTCACAAGCTACCCTGAAGTAAAAAGCCACATGCAGGGGTGGAGAACACTCTTCCTTTGTGTGCTAGAGGGGTTGTAGCCGGCTCATATTGAATGTTTCTCAACTTTCTTTTTCTTTGTATAGGAGGAGCTCTGATTACTCAAGAAAAAAGAGCCATGACTTATAGCTGAACAAGATATATACAGACCAAGGCCCGATGGACAGACAACCATGCTGAAGACCCTGTCAGCCAGGAGGAACACGAGTTAATGAAATGCATCTCATCCACTTCTGAAGGAATGTTGTAAAGAAAGTCAGTGAGCTTGGCTAACTGTATTAAATGTATTTCCCCCAATTACAGTGACATCTCTTCTACTCTGTTTCCCTTCGTACCCCTCCCATTTTAAAAAGAGGAACAGATATCCACTGTGTATAAATACATATTTTTCTTGGTTTGGAAAGGGCAAAATGGGCATTGTCAAGTAGTATTTTGGCACATTAACTGGTGAGGGATACCTGGAGAGGGCAATTGTGTGCTTTTTCCATGAACCCACTGGCTTTGCAAGGTGTCTAAGCTAACTTTTTTGTGCCCCCGTTTTAACCTTCTTGAAAGAGTAGGCACAATTTTAGCACGGACATCAAATTTTCCTCACAAGAAGACATTGTTGAGAAGTATGTCTAGGGATGAGTGAATTTCAGTTTCCACATTTGATATTTAAAGAAAAAGAAAAAAAGGGGGTCTTTGTGCCCCATTTATAAAGGAATTCCCACATTCCATTCAGTTCTTACAAAAATAATAAACTGATCAAAATCCACACTCATCTGAACAAGTCAAATTTAATTGGTTCAATGTTCCTAGCATACCAAGGACCATTTTGTCTGCCATTTATGTTTTAGAGATGAGGATCTTCTCTAAAAATGGGGTGGCAACTTTAATTTTTAAATCAGTAACATTGTTTAAATACACACAGAGAATCAGATTTAAACTTTGAATGAGATCAGAAGGGCTCTCGGTCTGGCTAGACAAATCCATCTATTATGCTTTTTCTCATGTTTAAAATTCTTTAAAATTCTTTGCACCATGTTTATGAAGAAATATGCAAGTTCTGGTAATTTTCATGGAAAAAAATGAACGATTTTATCACCCGTTACTAAATAGACTTGGTAAATGCAGTAGACTGTAGGGAGGATCTGCAACATTTCTTTCTGTAAGTTACAGAAGCCATTAGGTTGAAGTTATTGAATAACTTTTTTTAAACAAAGACAAGAAAGACCAAGAATAACAATGCATCTTCACTTAACTTTCTATCTTTTTTCTCTTAGCCTTTTGCTCACTTTCTTTCAGATTTAACATCACATAAACATTCCAGGGACAACAAGCCAGGAGGAAGCTTTGGGCTATTTTCATATATTCGTTTCCATACCTTTGAGAACAATATATGACCATTCAAGAGGCAGTGCAGGTACTCAATGTCAACGAGTAAATACATATTTTTCAAACAAATGATGTTAAATATGAGAATGCTTTCTACTACCTTATGACAAATGTTCTGGCCCCAGTCCAGAGGATGTTAGCTACTCTCTATCACACTGACATAATGGGAGTTATGTCAACCCTAAGCGTGGGTATTAGAAGGACATCCAATTATATCAGGGCTGAACTAAGTTGAAAGGGCAAGGACCATTTGTCCTTTGGGAATGGCCAGGAGCTTTGCTTCCACTTTTTGTTGGGAAGCGAAGCACATTATTTATAGAAGAATCAGAATCCGAACAATATTCAACTGCAGAGAGAGGTTTTCTACTAAAACAGCACACATAGGAAACCTCACCTGCAGTCATTCTGGACTATTAACAAGCTGCTAGTAGCTTTGCAGAAGTTTACAGCTTTGAGTCTTATTATGTTATGGAGCATGGAACAGAAAGAAAGAAGACCTATGAATTAATAATATAAGAGAGATTGCTAGTTGTTGTTGCTCTTTTTAGCTTATCCTCAAATGAAAATGGCAAAACAAGTGATTTATGATGTTAACTGTCTTAGATGGCTTTATGAGGAGAGAATTCCTGAGGGAAGCATCCATCAATAGTTCCATGAGTTTTACCGAGTGACAGCAACAATGAAACCTCCATGTTTAGTGGCAGTGCGTCTGAAAATAACATGATGGGGACAAGAAAATGTGCAGATGATGGATATAACTTTGGGATATGCTAGATAAGTGGTATTTAGTGTAGATTCTAGGTACAGGGCACACAATATCTCCTATGGTGAGGACTGACATCATCCTATCTGGAAATCTCGGCCAGTCCTAACTGTAAAGTTCTCCCTAAGCCTATTCACCCACAATCCCAAGATGAAGAGATTTTTAAAAACACCACTTTTCAAAGACACAGTGTAACCATACATGTTTTATAGACTTATTTATTTATTTATTAAAATATATCTGTCATTCTGAGCCCACAATGATGTCCAACAAAATCTTCTCTTATGGTGTGATTACTTAAGGTTCAGGAACACTTTCAGCATCAGTATTTAACCAGCACATGTATAGTGTTGAAGTGGAGAGAGGAAGATGGGTGCTATTCTTCAGGTATTGCTTAGGAAGGCCTAAAAATGTTGGTGCAAACACACCTGGCTGAGTTGCTTAGATTGCTTCCATGTTTTTTGCCTCCCTGGGAAGGGAGAAGAAAGACATGTGTAGCACCTTAAGGACTAGCATATTTATTTTCGCATGGATTTTCCATGGTTTATGTTCCATGTACTTCCTCAGAAGCTGGTTTGATTCAAGCTTTAGCGCAATTAACATCCTTTGCCTTGGTGCCAGGATTTAGCTGGTTTAGAAGAAGCAGAAGGACAAAACATGTCATGTCTTGGCCAAAAGAGGTCATCATGCATTGCTAAGTCATAATATCTTCTCTGATTGTTAGTCTTGGATGTAGAAGATGGCATCCAAGGTGAGGGTGAACCACGGAAAGAAAATTACAGGGCTATATCTAACCAGTTACTGTGACAGAATAAGGAGATTAAAGATGTATTCCACAAATCTACAGTATTAATTCATTGTGTCTGCTCTCTTATTTTAATGCCGTTTGAGGGTGTACCAAAATTGTATTAATAAATTATATGGATGGTAGTAAGATATCAGCAGCTTTTCATGTATTGTGTGTTTCTTGTTCTTTTTGTGTGTGACAGTCTCCTTTCCACTTATGAAGAAATCGGTGACCTGGAGCTTCCTATAGCAAAAGAGCATGTTTGTTCTTGTCAGGCAGACAGATGAGTGTCAGTGTTGAAAGTTAACAGGAACTTCTCTGTGTTTTGTTATCAATGTCGGTGACTATCATTCCTGCACATTCAAAAGCCTTATTGCATTGAGAAATTGGGGGGAGGGGAGGCGGGATGTGCAAGCACAACTGGTAGGAAAGGAGAAAGTTGCAATGTGTTTGAGCCTGATGTTGATGCAAAATAACATGGGTCACATTTTTACTACATTCTTTCTCCTCAGTCTGCTTTAACTAGGTTGAAAATTCATGTAGCCATTTTTGTAAAAAAAATTAAAAATAAATACTGAAGTTTAGATTGTGGCAGAAAGCTAAAAATGACAAGATTTTGTGAGTTTTTAAGAATAAAATATGGATGAGATACTGTGGCTCATTCCTAAAGCTAACTTTTCAAAAACTCAAAACTAAAACAACAGGAACAGGAAAATAAGCAAATCAACACCAGCCATTCACCCTTTGGTATAGCCCTGCATAACATATGAGCTACTGAACAAAATTAAGACTGCCAAGCATACACTATGTCTTTTTAGTGGCTCAATGAACTTCCTGCATATCTTAGCATGTATAGAACTGAAAATCATGATATACATCTGGCAGTTTAGAATACTGAGTCATCAATTGTTGTTGTTGTTGTTTAGTCGTTTCGTCGTGTCTGACTCTTCATGACCCCATGGACCAGAACACGCCAGGCCCTCCTGTCTTCCACTGCCTCCCAGAGTTGGGTCAAATTCATGTTGGTAGCTTCGGTGACACTGTCGAACCATCTCATCCTCTGTCGTCTGCTTCTCCTCTTGTCTTTACATTTTTCCAACATCAGGGTCTTTTCCAGGGAGTCTTTTCTTATGAGATGGCCAAAGTACTGGAGCCTCAGCTTCAGGATCTGTCTTTCCAGTGAGCACTGAGGATTGATTTCCTTTAGAATTGACAGGTTTGTTCTCCTTGTCATCAGTAGGTCTCACCTAAACATTCACATCAGAATGGCACTGATTTTTTCCCCATGTGAAGACATTGTGGCACCTAATAGAGGCTAACAGAGCAACTGGCAACTCATTAATTAGCCCCAATTAGCTGCTGTAGCTTCCACAGTTTGTTCTGTGTGTGGAGAAAACCAGTAGGAATCTGACCTCAAATATCTAATCCTGTTTCTTGTTCACATTGACAGGGTAAGTGCATTTACACAAATGCAGGGATGAGGAGTATGTCACCCTTCAGATATTGCTGGCCTGTGACTCCCAGCATCCTCTACCGTCAGCTGTGCTCTTTGGGGCTGATGGGCACTGCATGCCAGCAACCTCTGGAGGAACACATCTCCATCCCCACATAATAGGTATAAAACAGGTTTAACAAGCATGCTTTGTCCCTCGATTACTGACCTTACATAATGGGGAGAATGGTTCTCTTGATTCACCACACTGTTGCCAAACAACAATTTCTGGGATTCTTTATAAGGTACCATGGCAGTTAAAATGGTTAAAAAAATCCAGTTAAAAATGTACTATCTCTCTGCCCTAAGTAGCAGTAAAATTTACACAGAGTAGCAAAATATCAGTTCTTCCATTTTACCTGGGATCAATTTGCATCTCTTCAGTAACAGATGTCACAGTATGTATTGGTGTCAACAATTTTAAATAAAGTTTCGTGTTCCAACATGATGTGCTACTCAGTTTCTAAAGGTGTAAAAAAAATAATATTTCATTATTCTTTAAGGAAGAATCTTTAACCAGTTCTGCTGAACTGAAAACAGTTTGCCTGGAAATAGGAGGAAGAAGGAACTGAGTCATTTTTCATCTACATGAGACTATGGGTTTAGGTAGAGTAAATATTAATTGAGCTGCCACTGTGGTGTAGTGGATACAGTAATGGACTAGGACTTGGGAAACTTGGGTTCAAATCCATGCTGGGCCAGCTCACTGGTGGTTGGCAGTGGTAGCAATGGTAAAACCATTCCTTAAATATTTTTCCCGCATACCTTGGAAACTATGAGAGTTGCTGTAAGTTGGATGCACTTTGATAATACATAGCAACTATATATCAATTATATATTCCACTCTAATATACAGTTGTTACACCTTAGTTATATCTGATTATACTGATATAACAGCAGTGGGGTAAGCAGCTTGGCTATGCTGATAAAGGCTGATAGGAGATGCAGTGCAAACATATCAGAAGACTTGCATATTAGCCTCCTCTAGTTTACAGTATTCTATTTACACATTTTATAGTGGGTGCAAAGTTATTAAGCAGAAGTTCCTTCATGCCTGTAAAGATCTTCAAAATCTCCTTTGAAAGGACTGGGTTATGTCTGCTAGTCCCATGATTAGAGCTCTAGCATCCACTGCTGTTTTGGATAGGGCGGAAGATAGACAAGCACTCAGATATTCAGACAAGCACTTACCGGTTACAGGTAAGCTACCTGTTTAATGAGACAGGACTGAGACACAATATGTAGATACATGCAAATCTTTCCCAGTGCTAAAGTGCCATTGGGACAGTCTCTTAAATGCTGCCATGCTAAACAAGAGATAAGTGTGTCCCATCTGATGAAGAGGAATAAAAGCTGTTGTAGCTCAATAAAAGAAGATCAGGTTTATTTTTATTTATTTTTTTTACTAAATCAATTGTATTTACTCAGAATACATCCACAGACAGCATTTGTTCCTGCAAAAGTACCAGGTTCTGAAATGATGGTTTGGGTTTTTTTTTTCCCCCCTCACCATCCAGATGACACATGGTTCAGTCTTCATGATGTCTCCACTGCTTTTTGAAGTGACTCTCTGGAATTACTTTTTTTCTCCTGTTGACCTAGAAGGCATTGTTTGTTTTGGTTTTCGTTCCACAAGATAGAGATTAATGCTATGGTACTCCTGCACAAAATATAATTTCTGTGTCAGAGGATTTTGCTTGGAAGTATTTAATTAGCACAAACGCAAAGTTCCAATGCAGATTTAATTAGCACAGAATTATTTTTTAAGTTCCAGAAGCAAAGTTTGAGTGAGGAAGTCAATTTTTAAGGATTTTTTCCCCCTGGAGGATTTGAAGAAGAGCAGTTTTTCAATATGTGACTAAATGCAGTGAAGCTTGGATGTGAAAGCACTTAAAAGTCCTGCTTTCCTCCACAACCACCTGGGACACAACTTTTTCCCCATTTCAATAAGTTTCAGCCACACTAGACGCTGTTCCAAGTCCTCGATACAGAGCACGTTACCATAGTCTCTCGAGACTGAAGGATGCCTAAGAGGAAGAAGACTACAGTGGTGCCCCGCATAGCGACGATAATCCGTGCAGCAAAAATCATCGCTATATGGATTCGTTGTTATGCGCTATTTAACAGCCCTTAGGAATGCATTGAAACCCCTTCAATGCGTTCCTATGGGCTTAAAACTTACCTTTTAAGTGAAAACCCTCCATACGGTGGCCATTTTAGCTGCCCGGTAAGCGAGGAATCTGTCCCTGTTTTACCCAGCGGCCATTTTGGAACCGCCGATCAGCTGGGGAAAAAACATCGCTATGCGAAAATTGGTAAGCGAAACAGCTTACCGATCATCGCAAAGGGATTTCCCTCATAGGAAACATTGTTATGCGATCGCAAAAGCGATCGCAAAAACATCATCGCTATGCAGATTCATCATTAAACGGGACGCCCGTTATGTGAGGCACCACTGTATATTGGTGAAAATCGCCTATTAATAACAGTTTTGTTGAAGGCACTCTGATCATAAGACTTGAAATCAAGCACAAACATTCCAATTCCACACCAAGATATTTATTTTGTAACATAAAATTGTCATGGCATGTTTATTAAAATATCCCAGTGTTCCAGCTTCAGGGTGCTCCATTCTATCTCCCAAGCCTATGAGAGTTTGGACTACCACTCGCCATTCTGGCTAGAGGATTTTGTGGGATGGGATGCTCGTGCTTAGTTCTCGTTGAGCTGTTTCGAGGTTCTAAAATGTCAGGGAGGACTAACCACTTCCTTTGGTCATGAACTGTCCATGTCTCCCAAAGTGCCCCCCCCAATTTCCTTTCTATTGTTTTCAAATTGACATGTTATTGAATTTTCAAATACAGCTTTCCCACTTCTTGCTGTAGTCAGAGATCAACCCATCATATCTCAAGTCAACTTTTACCCAAATTATTTATTGCAGTTCAATGTTTGTGAAAGGAAGAATCAGAAAAGAAGTGCAGATATGTGAGCGACAAATAAAATATGCAAAGAAAGCAGGAAAGTTGTGTTCTACATAGTGCTGTTCCTGGCTAGTAATATTCTGAAACCTGAAAACATGCCTATTTGTTAATGAAATATAAATAGATCCTCATGCACAGCTATGAATTTTAAGCTCAAAAAAACTGATTAATTCCACATCAGATAATTAATTTACAAGTTAGCTTGCATAGTAGATCACCGTATAAATTAACCATGATACATATTAAACAATTTTATATAATGTATTTAAATGTATTTATTTAAACTTGCATGGAATATCTATAATATCACCTACTTTGCTTCTTGTGAGGAAATTTATCAGATTCCAGACAGCTATTGAGGTGATAGTGACCCAATTCCACCTGCACTCAAATTAGTTTTAACATGCTGCCCTACCCATGAATTAAGCCTTCCCATGTATATTTGAAAATTGAGACAGTTTTAGCAAAATCACAACCCATCAGCATCACGGCAGGATGATTTGCACACTCCCTTCCACAGAGGTCTCTATATGCTGGAAAAGAAGGCAAGGCCTACTGCGGAAGATAAAAATTAAATGATCAAGGACACAAAAACTGCCTATGTCAACTGTGTTCTTTACAATAAAATTCTGATGACAAATGTAGTTACAAACTTGGTTTCAGACTCCATCCATACTGATACATTCTGCCAGTGGCTTTGGGGTTCTGAAGGAAAGTCTATTTAGGATTTTAGGGCCAAAGAATACTGCACGCTAAACCCAGCCTCAGACCCTCCTTTGTTTTTTTTAAGTGAGGGAAAATACTGTACAGTACATGGTACCTGAAATAGGTCTACTCAGAAGTATATCCCAATGAATTAAGTGAGCCTTCCTTCCGGA